TGTGTGTATTTCCGGCGGCCAGGCCGCCCCGTGAGAGCATAAACCCGCCAGAGGGACAAGCACAGGGCCACGGAGAGACACAATAAAATGATGGTGTTGTCTTCAACCAAAAGTAAGAAGAGCGCACCAACTTCACTGGGCACAACACGCAGTAAAACTGCAATGGGGAAAAGCAGACAAATTCCCTACAGCATGTATATGTATATATACAGGGGGAGAGAAAGCGTGAGAAAGTGCGTGGCTTACTCACCCACGTTTATAGCTAACACAGCCCGCGAATGCGCGGCCGGGAAGGGCGACTGTTGATAATAAATATAGTTCGCAGATAAAACAATTAAGGAAAAAAAAATGCATTGCGGCCCAGTTAGCAAAGGGAATGGCTGAGAAACAAGTAACGAAAAGCAGCAAAAAAGAAAAAGTTGAGAAGAGAACTATCTCACCACATTTTGCTCTCATACTTGTATGACTTGTAGGCGTCGGTGGAGATGCCAAGACCCACACCGTTCGTTCCCTTCATTAGCATGGCGCGATAGTTGTCGGCGTTGCGATAGTCAATGCCCTCGCCCATTCGCAGCTCCCGTTCCTGCCGCTCCTCCACCTTGCGTCGAAGTGGTTCCTGCGTTGCCATCTTCCCTCGGAATGTCGAGAGCAGCTCGCTCTTGTACCTCGCCCCGGTCTCACGATCCGCCTCATCTAATAGCGCATTAAAGGCCCGCATGGCGGTTCGATCCTCCCGCACGGTGGTGTCTTGTGTCCACAGCTGAATGCGTTGCCTAATCTCCTCCTCAACGGTGAGTGGTTCATCGCTGCCCGAATTCGTCAACGCCTTGCCAGTGTTCCCGCTCAGCGTGGTGTTGGTCGGCTCCTCGGTTGGCCCCCCCCTCGCTGCCTCCTGCCTCGCCTTCTCATCGAGAGAGAGAAGAAAAAGTTCTCGTTCCGCAAGCCGCAGCGAGTCTGCCGCCGTCATGCAGTTGCCGTCCAACTCCAGAGCCTTTTGATAGGCCGCCTTTGCCTCCGCATATTTTTTACGCGCAAACTGTGCATCGCCAACGCGGAGGCGGGCCTTGTACCAGCCCGGATCCAGCTCCACCGCACGCTCTGCGTCTTTTAGCGCGAGCGACGGGCCGGCAAACATGGATGATTTCAAATAGGCGGCGCTCCGGCTGCTGTGGAGGATAGCCGTCTCATCCTTCTCCAGCGCCTTGGTGTAGCAGCGGATGGCGCTAAAGTAACAGCCGTGGGAGTAGCACTCATTGCCGATCAACTTCCACTCCTCGGCAGTTGCGTTACCATCCACTTGTTCCAAACGACCGCGCAGCTCATCTGGCAGTGGCGGGTCCTTGGAATTCACCATGACAACCCAACAATACCTCCGCCTTCACACAGCTTTCCTTTCCCTTCCCAGTCGCTGTGTTTTGTGTTACAGCTCTTCTCCAGTTACGTGTGTGTGTGTGTTTTTTTTTTAGGCAGACAAAAACAAAACATAAGCCCACGTGCGCCCTCGCAGGAGCAGAGAAGATAACAGACAGACTGTGAAGAAAGAGTCATCCTCCTCCTCCTCCTCTTCATCAATATCATCATCCGCAACAACAGCAAAAAGCAAAGGCAAAAATGTGGCAATAATAGTCAAAACAAATAAGAGCAAAAACTCACTGCATGTAAGTTTGCCTGCTCCATGATGACGGTCCCCCCTGTTTGCTTGCTTGCCTACGTGTTCTATTCTTCCCCCAATTCCCGCCCCCTTTGCAGACACACACGCACACACATGAACACAGCCTAAAAAGGTTGGAGGCCCTAATCACTGATAATCACCGGATTGTCCACACCGCTGCGGCTGTTGTTGCTGCTGTGACTGTCAGAGATCACGCAGCTCTGGTTTTCTTCGGCAAGTAACTCCCTCACACGCTGAGCTAAAAACGTGGCATCCACAGTCGAACTTGTGGTTCCACCAAGGTGTGAATCGCTGTTGTTAAAAAAGAAGTACACCTCTCGCTTACGCGTAACAGCTGCAGCGGGATGCAGTTGTGGTGGGGCCACTGTCGTTGCCACCCCGTCACGGATGTACTCAACGACACGCTCCGCCCACTGCGATAACACAACCGGCCCGTAGTCCCCAACGTGCACACCAATGGGGCCGTGCAGACGAACGTACATGAAATCCACTCCTGTGTTCACGTGCACTGACGCAGTGAGATCGTCATGGTGATGCGCCACGACCAACGCCCATCCGGCGCGACGAAGAAGTGTATAAACCTCTTCATCATACCATGAACGGTCTCGAAACTCCACGGCAACACGAATAGATTTCGGAATGCAGGCGGCGACAGCCTCTATGCGCTCCATGTGAGCAAGGCTCTTCCGGAACCGCGGGGGAAGCTGCAGTAGCACGGGCCCACAGTGTCGCCCCAGTAAAAGGCATCGCTCCACAAAGAAGTGCATGATGTGTTCCTCTGTTTTGGCATCAATAGTCAACATACGGATGTGTGTTAAATATTGATTTGCTTTGATAGTAAACATAAACACGGGAGGTTTTTGACTGCCCGTTCTAGCTTTCACAACACCTTCTTTCTGTGGACTGTTCTTCTTCGTCCTGTCATTAGCATCCTCACCACCGCCATGGATCTCCCCCCTCTGCCCCCTCAGCGTCGCAAGAGTGCTGGCTTGCACGCATGCATGAGACGATGGTGATGGCAATGAAAGCGACGCAGTCGACTGGGAGGCACAGAGGTGCTCCCAGCTTTTCCACATTGCCTCATCGCCCATATTGTGAAATGTGTAGCAATGCTCCAGGCAGTTAAACTTCTTGGCGTACTGGCAGAAAAGTGTCTTCATGCGTCGATCCTTCCCAGGCACACCGCTGAGCGAGCTGATGCCAATGTGAAGCTCCGGACACTCCCACAGGTAGGTGGAGAGCGTGGAGCGGAAAGGCGTTCCCCAGCCGTACTGGGCTCGATTGTAACCATACGGCGAGTTCACAACCACACGATTGTTGGCTCCACGCTCCTCAATCCTTTGAGGCTGCTGTGGACGATGGTGTGTGGCGGCGGCAGGTGCAGCAGACGTTGCCGTCGCCTCTCCGTGACATCGCGTCCGCTTCATACCCCCCCCCCCCCTCCACACACACACAGACACTCTCCTCCACACGGAGCCTAGCGCCACACGCAACTGGGAGAAAGGGAACACAGCAGAGACAACCAAGCAAACGAACAACGACAACGGAAAAACATCACCTGTGCCTCCTCTCACTCTCTGGGGCTCCGGCGGTTGCGCCCGCAAAAACAAAACGGAGCAAAACACACACAGAGACACACAAGCGCAGGGAAACCAAAACGCAGTGAGGCAACAGCAACAAACAAGAATCCAAAGAATAAGGGTCTGCGCTAGCGCGACGTACCTTGTAACATATCCAGCAAGGCCCCAGCACGACGTCGTTGCTTCCAGTTCACCTGCAGTGCTCCCTCAACAAGCTCTTGCTGCCATCTCGGAGGCGGTGGGTTCTGCGGTAGACGGGGCAAACGAACGGGCCCGACCATTTTTCCATCATCTGTGATGGTGGACACCACACCCCTCAACTCATCGTCACCATCTTGGACAATGAGTTCGTCATTATTTCTGCATTTTACACTTGCTTCCTCCCCCGCCGACACCGATGTTTCCGGCAGCTGCATTGAAGCCATCTCAACCGCAAGTACGCCACAAGACCAAATATCTGCCGCAAAGGAAAATGGGGCCTCGGCCTCAATTTCGGGCGCTGCGTATGGAGGGGTGCCAACACGTGGGGAGGCCATATGTATCTGTGTGGTTGGATTCACGGCAACACTGTCCGCAAAGTCCCCCAACTTGACTCGAACGTCACACAAGTGACACACAGTTCCAATGGAATGACACGTACTGCAGCGAATAACCACCAAGAGCACATTTTCAGCTTTAATGTCCCTGTGGACATATCCACGAGTGTGTACCTCTTTTAAGGCAGAAAGAAGGCCGATAAGAACCTCTTTTTGCTGCGAAAGGCTCATGCGGGTTTCACGAATGATAAGATGATTCATGAAACTCAAAAGATTAGTAGGAAAGTATTCCATCACAATTCCACCACTCCACCCCAGGCACCGTACCACACCCGACGACATACGAAACTTTCTCAGTACCTCGTACTCGTAGACAAGGCTCTCTAAATCGAGACTTGTGCGCGGCACTTTTACAACGCATGTGAGGCCCCCAGCCAAGACCCCACGCCGCACCACAGCTGTGGCGCCTCGACCACATTCCTCCAAAAGATGTATCTTTGCGGCGGAGCGGTGCAGAATCATACAGTGGCGATGAGACCAATCGGAGTTCAACATGACTGGGGCACACTTGTAGGCAGGCACCGGCCACATCTCCAACTTGTGTGGACTCAACGTTGCATCGACAAGCACATGGCGCCTGCCTTCAAGTGGAACAATATTCCAGGAGTGACGCTCTGCGAGGGCGTCACGCGGGGCTTGATGCTCACCACGCACCAGATAGCACGGAAGATGTACCACATCACAGAGATATTTAAAAAGCAATGCCCGGTGCCGACACACCCCATTGCGCACATCCCCCAGGCGCACGACATTGGCCCCTTCATTCGAAGATGATCTTCCACGGCGCCGTTTATTCAAACGGCCTTGCAGCCGCAAGGCGATAATTTCCTCCTCTGCATTTATTCCACCACTCTCGCCACCGCATGCACTGGCCACCAAACACGCCAACACTTGGGTACACACAATTGTGTCAACAATACCCAAGACTAAGCGCCGCGCCACCTTCGCAATTTCTTTCAGCCTTGTGTCCTCTGGATCCACCACAATGATCTCGCGCTCCACCATCGGTAACTCCTTGTAACAATCCTCTGTAAGTAATTCATTGCTGCGTCCAGGGTCTGTAAACCCGGTAGAAATATTGTCCTCGGGCCCCAATACATCTGAGGTCCAGAACTTGTGTGAGAGATCGTAATTCCCTGGAACTTGTTTACCAGTGCCTATGATATCAGCCCCTGCACGAAGTTTAAGACTATGTCGCACAAACATCGGTTTAGACTCCAGTTGCGTTTTTTGGTCCCCTTGCTCTATGCATAGAAGAAATGTAATCTCACACACCACACCCTGCATTTTGAAAGTCTTTATTTGACAGCGAAAGGAAACGACCACTTTGCTCTCCAGATGATCAAGTGTGACGGCTGCCCCTTCCTCCGTCTCTTCCCGTTCAATACACAAGACATGATCTGTGACGTCACATCGATCCTCATCCAGTACGCGCAGCGAGACCTGTGTGCCTGCCAGCATCCAAAACGACCACAACTTCAAAGAGAATACGGACTTTTGGTGCAGTATTGGAGGCATGGCGTTGTCTTCGAGCAGGGTGGCACCTTGCACAAACTGCAGCGACAACTCAGGCTGAAAAAACTTGCAAGGATCCGTTCCAGTGATGCTCCATACACCCAGACGACCATCATTGAGTTCATCTGCCAGTTCACACTGTAAGGAAGCTAACCCGCCCACCTCCCGCCGTTGCTCATATATGAGACGTGGCACACCACTTGGATAAAACCATCTATTACTGATGTTGCGGGCGGCGAGCGTCCGATGCGCCTCTTTCCGCTCCCGTGGCCCCTCGTTGTGTGTGAAGAATGCCTCCATAACAAGAAAACTCATAGGGTACAGTGCAAAATGTACATAGCGTCCCACCCACTCCTCTTCCTCGCTAAAGGGACGCGACGTATCCTCCCGCTGCTCCAATAAAGTTGCCGTTGCAGAGGTGACATTGGCGAGAAAACCTCCCGTCGAAAACGTGTCCCGTGTTGCCACAGCCTCATACGGAAGAAACGAGCAAAAAATAAACACGAAACGTCCTGAGACTCGTGTAATGGTTCCCGGCAACATGCTCTTAGAAGCCAGCAAACCAGACTCATGGAGGTATACCAGACGCGCCAAAGGCAATTTGGGGCCCTCCTTATCGTCAGCAAGTCCCGCGTCCCTCTCGTCAACAGGATCTATGGTCACGCATCGACCCACGGGTGTGGAGTGAAAGAGGTTATCAGGGTAATTCCCCTTGTTTTTCCCCACTTCACTACTCTGCAGTCGCCGTGGTCGCTCCTCGTCAGCGGCGTCGCTGCTTTTGGGCACTGTGATTCGGAATAACCACGACGATGATGACATGGGCACACGATACCGCCTGGAAATAGAATCCGTTGTTTCCACGACGGCCTCCTTTGTGGTTCCGTTGTACTCAAGAACAACAGCATCGAACATCATGCATCCCGTTTCGTTTGAATACTTGTTGTTTTTTCTTACTATTTTTGATCTTCTGCTCGCTTATTGTTCACGTATCCTGCTCTCCTGCTTTTTCCCCAGACCCAGAGCCAACCCCGCTCAACTCAATCTGGCACACACGATAATTCAGTCTGAGAAGACCGACTGTTGAGAGAAAAAAAGGATGTGATGAAGAGTTGCCTGCAACTCACCGTCCAGCGCACAACTGAGCCTCAAAAGGAGCCACAATTGTCAGAAACTTTCAGAAGATTACCCCACGCACCCAGGTCGGTATCCAAGTCCCGTTATAAGGAGCAAAAAAAATAAAACAAAAAACAAAAACAAGTACATACAACAAAAAAACGTATTTTCTTTTTATTCTCACGTTTTTTTTTCTTTCTTGAGCTTGCAGAGTGAGTTCCGATTCTTATGCGTCGTACAGCGTCGGGTACAAGTCACTCACCCCACCAGTGTATCCCCCATCACAATTACAGCACACCCCGCTGCTGGTGCTGTTCGCTCTCTCTGTCGTCCTACTCCACGCGTTTCTTTCCCTTCGGCACAGCGTGCAGCCCCAAAGGCGACGCAGTCTCAGCCTTCGTGCCATGAAAGTACACCGCAATGTGGTGGGCGCCAGTGCGAAAGCACTTCTCACCATGCAGACAGCGTGGCCTCGCAGCCTCCTCAATCGCTCGGTACTCCTCTCTGTGGCAGCGAGATCGCTGCCATATTGTACCGTCGCTTCACTCTTCACTTGTTCGCCTCGTGTGAGCGCTGGGTGGAGCTTTTTTAGTCTTCTTTGGAGACAAGTGCTGTTGCTTTGGTGGTCCTCTTTGCAGGTGGCTTGCCCATCGGCAGAAGCTCCGCTGCCAGTGGTAAGTTGGCAGCATCCCCGACGAGTCCTTTCAGGCTTGTCTGACCAACCAACATCCCCCTGTTTCATTTGGCAGAAAAGTTCGTGATAGGCAGTGGCAAGGTCATCGTAGGCGTCAGTGTTGTCGAAGTAGCCGGCCTCCTTCGCGTTCGCCAACTTTCTTTCTGTAAAGCAACAAAGATGACGCCACTTGTACCTAACTTGTTACTCGCCCGGCACACTCTATGCGTTGGCAAACACTGGGGACTAGCCCGTCGTCCCTATTCGCACCTCGTGCTTGGCAATAGCCTGGAAACCGACTGAAGCAGCGCACTTGGCACGTCCAGTCTTCGCATACCCCACACGCAGCTCCGCCATTTTATTCACTGCAAATTATACCACAGATACGGTAAAGGCAGGACCGTGAAAAGGGTTTCATAGAAAGAGATACAAAGCGAAAGAAAGATATTGAGGGCCACATCTACCTATGGGCCTTTACACAGGCGTGCATCTGTTACATACGGGGTATACGCATGTGAGTAGATAATTATATATAAACATGCCATGTAGAAAATGTGAACGGCGGTAGCACGCACAGCACAGCCGTCAGCGGAGACCAACGAAGGACGCTACAAGATAACAGGGGAAGGGGATTAAAAGCTAAACACGAAGGTCCACTGAGGAATGGAAAAACGCCGCATGCACAACGAGGGAAGAGGATGGGGACACGCGATGCAGCTACGGTGGGACTTCACACGATCCCCCCCATTGCCTCATACTGCGTCCGCAAAGGGGAAACAATCAAACAACTACACAAGAAGAAGAGCAAAGAAAACAAAAAAAAACATCCAACAACCAAAAACACAAAACGCCCCCCCCCCCCCCCAAAAAAAAAACGAACGGAAAAAACTACGGGAATAATAAAAAACTTTTACTACTACGAATTTCCGTACATAGCAAGAAAAACACAGAGAGATACACACGCAGCACCAC